AGTGAAATCATATGATATTTGTCTTTCTCTCACTTATTTCACTTGGCATAATACACTCTAGTCCCATCACACTGTTGCAAATGCTAAGATTTCACTTTTTTTTTTATTGCAGGGTAATATTACATTGTATGTGTGTATGTATGTGTATGTATATATATACACATCTTCTTTATTCATCAATTGATGAACATTTAGGTTCTTTCCATACTTTGGCTATTGACAATAATGCTGCTATAAACATTGGGGTGCATGTGCCCCTTTGAATCAGCATTTTTTGTATCCTTTGGATAAATACCTAGTAATGCAATGGCTGGGTCATAGGGTAGTTCTGTTTTTAATTTTTTGAGGAACATCCATACTGTTTTCCAGAGTGGCTGCACCAGTCTGCTTTCCCACCAGCACTGCAAAAGGGTTTCCTTTTCTCTGCATCCTTGCCAACATTTTTTGTTTCCTGAGTGGTTAATTTTAGCCATTCTACAGGTGTGACATGGTATCTCATTGTGGCTTTTTTTTTTCTTAAATAGTTTGTCAAGTTGGTTTCCATATAACACCCAGTGCTCATCCCAACAAGTGCCTTCCTCCATGCCCATCACCCCCCTTCCCCTCTCTCCCACCCCATCAGCCCTCAGTTTGTTCTCAGCATTCAAGAGTCTCTCACGGTTTGCCTCCCTCCCTCTCCCCATTTTTCCCCTTCTTCTCCTCCATGGTCCTCCATTAAGTTCCTCCTAATCCACCTATATGTGCAAACATATGGTATCTGTCCTTCTCTGCCTGACTTATTTTGCGCAGCATAACACCCTCAAGGTCCATCCATGTTGCTACACATGGCCAGATTTCATTCTTTCTCATTGCCATGTAGTATTCCATTGTATAGGTAAACCACATCTTCTTGATCTGTTCCTCAGTTGATGGACACTTAGGCTCTTTCCATGTTTTGGCTATTGTGGAGAGTGCTGCTATGAACATTGGGGTACATGTGCCCCTGTGCATCAGCATTTCTGTATCCCGTGGGTAAATTCCCAGCAGTGCTATTGTTGGGTCATAGGGGAGTTCTATTGTTAATTTGTTGAGGGACCTCCACACTGTTTTCCAGAGGGGCTGTACCAGTTTCCATTCCCACCAACAGTGTAGGAGGGTGCCCGTTTCTCCACATCCTTGCCAGCATCTAGAGTCTCTGGGTTTGTTCATTTTAGCCACTCTGACAGGCGTGAGGTGGTATCTCAGTGTGGTTTTGATTTGTATTTCTCTGATGAGGGACGCTGAGCATCATTTCATGTGTCTGTTGGCCATCGGGATGTCCTCTTTGGAGAAGTGTCTGTTCATGTCTTCTGCCCATTACTTCACTGGATTATTTGTTTTTCAGGTGTTGAATTTGGTGAATTCCATATAGATTTTGGATACTAGCCCTTTATCTGATATGTCATTTGCAAACATCTTCTCCCATTCCATCAGTTACCTTTTAGTTTTGCTGAATGTTTCCTTTGCTGTGCAGAAGTTTATTTTTTATTTTATTTTTTTTATCTTGATGAGGTCCACATAGCTCATTTTTGCTTTTGTTTCCCTTGCCTCCGGAAACATGTCTCATAAGAAGTTGCTGCAACCAAGGTCAGAGGTTGTTGCCTGTTTTCTCCTCTAGGATTTTGTTGGCTTCCTGTCTTACATTTAGGTTTTTCATCCATTTTATTTTTGTGTATGTGTAAGAAAGTGGTCCAGGTTCATTCTGCATGGCACTGTTCAGCTTCCCCAACACCATTTGCTTAAGAGAGTGTCTTTATTCCATTGGATATTCTTTCCTACTTTGTCAGAGATTAGTTGGCCATATGTTTGTGGGTCCATTTCTGGGTTCTATTCTGTTCTGTTGATCTATGTGCCTGTTTTTGTCCCAGTACCATACTGTCTTGGTGATTACAGTTTTGTAATACAGCTTGAAGTATGGAATTGTGATGCCTCCAGCTTTGGTTTTTTGTGTTTTTTTTTTCAACATTATTTTGGCTATTTCTGGTTCCATACAAATTTTAGAATTGTTTTTTCTAGCTCTGTGAAGAATGCTGGTGTTATTTTGATAGGGATTGCTTTGAATGTGTAGATTGCTTTGGGTAGTATTGACATTTTAACAATATTTTTTCTTCCAGTCCTTGAGCATGGAATGTTTTTCCATTTCTTTGTGTCTTCTTCAATTTCTTTCATAAGCTTTCTAACCTTGTGTAGGCAATGAGCCTTATCGTCAACCCTGCTCTAGCTCTCGATGTCTCTCAAACCTTCTTATCATCCAAGTAGCCTACTTTATTTTTAATAGCTCCCTATAGTTGAGGGTGTGCCAAGACCTGTCAGTGTCCCAAAGGGGAAGATCTCAGTAAGGAGACTGAGTCAGTGTCCCAAAGGGGAAGATCTAGATTCAGGCTTATTGGAAGCCAGATCTTCAGGCAATAGTGTTTAAAGTAGAGAAATATATGCAGTTGTGTGGGACCTCGAGTGTAAGGTCTGCTGGCCACAGGGCCAGGTGATCTGGAGTGGCATTTGCAAAATCAGGGCTCCACATGATGTACAAGCTCCTTTCTGGGAGATACCAGTGGGCTGTCATGAGGCACAAGGAGAGAACAAAGTGTCCTCCAGCCTTTGTTCCCTAGGAGCACCTCAGATGTGTGCCAAACCTGATAGGTTCCCTAGCCCACCAGACATATGTAAGAGGTGGCTTGAGTCCCTAGCCCACCAGGAGATTCTGGTTCTCTGGAGCACAGCAGAGAACATGGAGATAGTGACTGCCCTCTGGGGAGAGGTCTCTGGAAATGCTTACAATTAGTCCTTAGATGTGTGCTTAATTATAAGCCTGTGCCTCCAACTGCAGCCATGATGATAAGCTAACAGGTGTCTTTCACAGATAGACCAATCTCCTGGGTCTGTTACCTCTTGCTGTGCCCTGGGGGTGATCCGTGTTCAACAACTCTTTCTCTGCTGGTCTAGTCCTCTGGGACCCTATGAGCAAAAGCCCCACTGGCCACTGGTACCAAGTCATATAGAGCTGTTCCCTGATGACAGCTGCAAAAATTGGGGCACCAGACAAGGATCTAAGCTCCTTTTTGAGAGACATCAATGAACTTGAGTGACTTTGAGGGAATCCACCAGCCTCTATTCCTGAAGAACACATCTACAGACTCCTAGATGTGTGCTAAACCAGAGGCCTGCCCCTTAGGCTCCTGGACAAGCAAACAGGCTTCTTTCATGGAATGACTGAGGGTGTCTTGCAGCCTGCTGTCTGTGCAGTATCCTAGGGTGGTAGTCTGCCAAGAACGGTCTTATTGATACAGCCCCAAAGAACCCAGGAACCCAAGTCTCCCTGGCCTCTGGAGCTAGGTTATCAAGGGCAGTCCCCTGGGCAAAAACCAAGGCACCAGACATTTATCTTGGAGATACTGGTGCTGTGGGGCAAGGTGGGGCCGGGGGAGGGGGGGGGCACGGCGGCATAGTAAAGATGGTGCTTGTCAGGTCCTAGAGAGTAATCCAGCAGGGTCCTAGATGTGTGTGTTATGGTAGATGCTTGCCCCCTAGGCCTATGCTTTAATATAAGCAAATGAGCTTCTTTCAGGTAAAATCTGGGTGCAGTTGGCTGCCTCTGGGTTGGGCTGTAAGGTTGGTGAGTCCAAGTGTGCAGGCCCTTTAAGACCCCATTTCTCAGTTTGCTATAGCCTTGTGGGACTCATGAATGCAAGCCTCTTTGGTTTTCAAAGCTTGAGGTTTTGGGGGCTTGTCTCTCAGGTACAAGTCTTAAAACTTGGGGTATCGGTTGGGGGCTTCAAACCCTTCTCTTCTTGGGAAGAAGCTCTGGGTTCTGAATTCTCTTCTGACTGGGACATCACTGTGCGGGAGGGTGGGATTTATGGCAAGATTGTGTCCCAGCCTCTTCTACCTCCTTCGATGTGGTTTTTATTCTTGTTTGCCTCATGTGTAGCAGTTGCTCAGTCAGGTTTAAGTTTTTTTTCGGAGGCATTCATTCCATATGTAGCTGCAGACTTTGTGTGTCTGTGGGACATGCCATCATGAATCAGAAGCTGTCATTTCTTGTTTAGATATTTGTAATTGTCCCCTGCAACTGGCCAGGCTGGCAGTTCCTTGTGAGTCTCAAGACCTGTGGCACTGGGGATCAGTGTCTGGTATTCAATAAATGTCTGTTGAATGGATGTATGGATAATTTGTGCCCCAGTTACTACAAATAATAGTTTGAGCAAAATGCATTTGAGGTTTTTGTTTACTACCACCATTTTTATAAAGGCTTTATGAGATATAATTCACAAGTAAAATTCACCCATCTAAAGTATACAATTCTGTGGCTTTTAGTATATTCAGATTTGTACAATTTAGAAATATCTAATTTTAGAGCATTTCATAGCCCTGAAAAGAAATCCATACTCATGAGGATTCACACCCCTTTCTCTCCTTCCCCTACCATAAATGTTTAACTCTAGTTCTGATGAAGAAAACTAAGATACCCATTCTGAAAAGGGTCATGTACTGAATGAAACTTTAGGTAGGTATCTTTTGGAATAAAAAAAAAAGTATACACAAAAGCCTGCCTCTTGGTCTATACCCCTGAAAAGCTTCTAAGCCTATTTCCCTCCATTATCAGGCATAGCATCTGACTCATAGTAGATGCACAGTAAATACACATGGAATTAAATCTTAGCCACCTAAATTGTCTACGTGTGAAACTCTAAAAAAAGATAGAACACTAGTACCTTATTTATTAACTGACAATATTATGAGATAGTGACCTAGAACAGTTAATCTAATATTTACTTCCTATAAGTTAGGCACGTTTATTAACAAAGTCTCATGACATCCCCATGAAGAAGATACTATGATTATTCCCCTGAGATTAACGAGCTGCCCCACCAATAAGTGGCAGAACCACAGGCTGTAGAACCCGACTGCAGAGCCTTCTACCCCTCACCATTTAACAGAACAGAAGCTGTGCAGCTAACTCTTAAATCCCCTCTCCTACTTACCTGTCTCTCTGTCTTTTTCGCAAATGAAGTTATTGATATCTTCACAATGGAAGTCATTCCACTGCCCAGCATAAATCAGCCCAGCACAGTCTTCTCCTGGCCCATGGCCATGACCCCAGTTATCTGGCTGTCCAGCTTTCCAATTTCTTTTAACAAAACAGAAATAGAGTGTTATTTGCAAGTCACGCAGAAGTTTTACCCAAGAGCAGCAGAGAAATGTAAAAAACATAACTGAAGCATGTCATTTGTCCTGGGATAAAAAGGCACTGTATAAAAGCTGTGCCTGCTCTTTGAATAAAAAGCAGCTGCTTTTCAGAGTGGTGTGTAATGCAGCATCTCCCTGTAGGCTTGTTATCTTTGCCACAATGAAATCAACTCATTGAGCTGCTTCATCACAATGCTGAGGGAGTAAATCCTTCTGCAACACAGTTAGGTGAATGACTTTCCAGTGTGTACTGGAATGCTGACTTCTGGATGTGTGTTTACATGTTTGTGTGTGAATATATATGCACACTGAGGACATAATACACACATACACACTCTCTCTCACTCTTTTGAGAACCCAGAGGGATCTTTGCACATCTTGATTCCTTGCCTCTTACAAGTCAAAGTATCAGGCAGAGAAAGTGGGGGACCACCAATATACACGTTTATGAGAATTTACAATTACAAACCCTTGGTTGTGGTTGTCTGGCTAAGATGTAGATAGCTGACTGCTTTAGAAAGAAATAGTAATTTAATCATACTGAAAATTACTCCTACATTTCACTGCCTTTTTGGGAAGGGAAATTCTCAAAGACAAGTTATCTTTAGGATGAGTTCACTTGGGGCTTGTTAACTTGAATGATGCAGCTTAAAACACCACTTTGTCAGAGTTCACTGTTCTTGATTCCCTTTCTGTGCAATAAATTGGTTGTGCTTCCAAAGACTCAAAACTTGAAAGCTCAATTTTCTCTAAGAAGTAGGTTCTTGCACAGAAGCTTGTGGTTACAGCCTGAGAAGACAAGCTTGCCTTGCATGGAAGGTCTAAAAAAACATGTGCAGCAGAAGGCTCTTCCCATAAATGATGACTCACTACACCATCAGCCATAGGGTGTCCTAAGGTAACCCGAGGATAGAGCCCATATTGCTCCACATCTTTTTAAAAAATTTTTTTAAATGTTTTATTTATTTCTGAGAGAGAGAGACAGCATGAGCAGGGGAGGGTCAGAGAGAGAGGGAGACACAGAATCTGAAACAGTCTCTAGGCTCTGAGCTAGCTGTCAGCACAGATCCCGACATGGGGCTCAAACCTATGAACCATGAGATCATGACCTGAGCCGAAGTCGGACGCTTAACCGAATGAGCCATCCAGGTGCCCCTCCACATCTTTTGACAATAGGATCAGTAAGACTAGAGGACTGTGGGAAAGAACAGGTGAAATTTACAATTAAAAGGTGGGGAAACAAGGTAGAATTGACTTTCCCACACCATATATATATATATATGTATATATACATATATACATAAAATATACATAATACATATAAACACATAAAGTATGTATAAATATATATGGATTTATATATATAAATAGCTACACAGATTATGTATATAAACACACACACACAGATCTGTATATATATGGATTTTTAAAAATTATAAGTGACCTCACTTAAATCTAGTGATGAACAGATAATTTAGACAAAACCATCCAGCTAAAAAGAATAAAAGTGGGATGATGCTTATGAGGGAGTGTTAGAAATATTCATTCACACACTCACCCAACAGGTATCCATATAGCACCTAGTATGTGCCAGGGATGATGCTTCATGATGGCAAAACAGCATGTGGGTTAGGGTTGGGTTAGGGAGAATTCCCTCCCTCACAGGACTTATGTAATAGGCAAGAAACAAGTGAATTAAAAATTTCAGATTGCCACGGTGATGCCAGAGACAGATGAAGTTAGAAGGAAAAATAGTTTACTTTCTGCTTTTTTGTATTTCCATCCACCCTGTAGGACCGAATGTTGACATTTGGCAATGTCAACAATGCCTGAGCAGTTTGATCCTGGTGGTGCACATTTGGTTAATTTCTGTCAGTAACATGAGGGGGTTGATTCCAATTTGTTTATAGAATTTGAGATTTGTAATTCCTGAATGTGTAATGATAGGACATTTGATATTCTTTATCTCAGTTAATTGGGAAGTTGTATAAATAGGAGTTCTGAAAGAAGACCTGCTTCATATTTTCCCCTTGCATTTCTTTCAAGTTAAATGCATAAGAGATAGCCTTTATCAGTGTGCCTGGGTGGCTCAGTTGGTTGAGTCTCTTGACTCTCTGATCTCTATCTTGGTTCAGGTCATGATGTCATGGTTCTCTTCAGGAGTTCCAGCCCTGCATCAGGCTCTGTGCTGATGGTGTGGAGCCTGGTTGGGATTCTCTCTCTCCTCTCTGCCCCTCCCCAGCTCTTGTGCTTTGCTCTCACCCTCTCAAAATGAACTTTAAAAAATTATAAAAAAGAGATAACATTTATCACCATTCTCCAATATTTTTCAAGTCATTGGAATTCTCTGCATACAGTGCTCAAGTTTTTCCTTTGGGACTCGAAGTAGGATGCAGTTCTGTGGCTGTGTGTGACTGAGGTGACACTAGTGTGGATGGCTGCTGCGGTAGCCTGAAGCCAAGCTCCAGGGGCCAATCTGTCTTGCACCCAGTCTCAAAATATCCCTTTGGAAAAGCCAAAATCACATGCAGTGATTTGTAGCAAATACCCTGAATCTTCATGGTTATCATTAAACAGAATAGAACATGTCAGATAAATAAAGTGTATATATTTTAGAGAAGAATTTCAGCTTCCATTGCGCCTTAACTTCCTTTACAGGTATATTCTGGAAAGAGGATGCCTGAAGCCTGGGCCACTAGTCCCCAAATCCCATATTATAACACACATCCCAACGCACATTTGTACCTGGACAGCATACTCTAAGTACACTGGGGACCTTAGAAGTACTTGGACTCACCACTCCAGTGAGCTGTAAACACACAAGCACATCAGCTAGTGGGTGTGAACCTCCCCCACCCAGAGTTTTGGTTTCTCCACAAAGTCTCAATCTTGGGAACAGCCCCTTCCAACCTCACAACCTAGTACTTTGTCATCAACCACAAGGCTGACTGAGGCTTCATAGCCAAGAAACTTCTGCTGGTAAAAGCCTGGCCTCAAAAAAGTGAGAAGTATTACTTTGTTATAGATTATTCTCCTGATACCAGGGTCTGTATAGCTTTCTTTCCAGTGGCCTAAGCCAATGCTACTCTGATAGAAACATGAAGCATCAACCGTAGTGAGTTTTTAGTGAATTAGATGAACCTGAAGGTTCCCTTCTGGTCTCTACCATTCTATGGCTCTATAATCTAAAAACACAATATGTAATATTATATGGAACAGTATGTGGACAAAGAGGCAACCCATGTTTTATCCTTGCAGTGCAGGGATGGGAGTGTTACGTATAACTTAACAGCATACTCCCACCAAATTGAGGTCCTGTGTGGGGGACTAAGAAGTGGACAAGAGGAATAGCAGAATTTCAAGTGTGCTTTGGGAAACCCTCAGGAAGATTATTACATCTCTGGTGATCTAACTACGGTGGACAACTGCAAGCAGGGTGGGCAGGAAAAGGCCTTAGAAGGCTCCCTTTCAGTTGTGCTCTGAGCCAAGTCAGTGGGTTGAGTCTACACCCCACTTGTGTCTGATTCCCATGTTCTTACCAGGCAGCCTCTATTAACAGTGATGACCTCTGCCAAACAATGTACTTGCATTTATTCCATCAAGAGTAGAAAGGTCAGCTTTGATGTGCTCCTGGTTTCACTGATCCTCTCTTTCATCTGTCTATGTTCTGTTTCACTGCTTTCCAGTCATAATTTCCATCCTTCTACTTACTTTGGGGTTAATCTGCTCTACTTCTACCCCCATGAAGTGGAAGCTTAGATCATGAATTTTCAACCTAGAAACTTTTTTTTAGGGGGCTCCTGGGTGGCTCGGGTTGGTTATGACCTGGCTCAGCTCAGGTCATGATCTTACAGTTAGGGAGTTTGAGCCCCTCATCAGGCTGTCTGCTGTCAGAGCAGACCCCACTTTGAATCTTCTGTCTCCCTGTCTCTACTCCTCCACAGCTCGTGCACTCTTCTCTCTCTCAAAAATAAACATTAAAGAAAGAAAAACCAACTTTTAAAAAAAACATAAGCACTTTAAAGGAGCCCTTTATTGAGACTTGTGTGATGGCCTAGCATATAGTTTATCTTGGTGAATGTACCCAATGTACTTGAAAAGAGTGTATTTATAGCTCTTGGGTGAAACAGTCCATAAACATCAATGAAGTCAAGTTAGTTGATAGTGTCTACAATATCCCTACTGATTTTTCTACTTACTTGTTCTATCAACTGCTATAAGGAGAATGTTGAAATCTCCTTTGAAGCCCTCTTCTTTACTGTGTCCACATTTGGGGTTGGTATGTCTCTTTTGTTGATTGTGACATGGTCCTGGAAATCAGACTTTTTTTTTTTTTTTCACATGAGTAGGAGAACAACACGTCTCACTCATTGTTGCCCATGAACTCTGGAAGAGGCCCTCTAGGCCAGCACAGAGGCTGGCTCGCAGCAGACTCTCCAGGATAATTCACTGAGTGTTGACATAGGACAATCTCCAGTCAGGGTTAGACGCTGGCCAGGAAAGAAGTTTTCACAGTTCCGTGGTGAAATGAGAAAACTAAGGACAACTGTGTGTGTGTGTGTGTGTGTGTTTGTGTGTATGTATGATGGCCAAGTGTCTTCTTGGAAAAGGCTATAGACTTTGTTTTTTAATACCAAGATTTGTTGATAGGCGATTCTTAAAAAACATGACCTTAAGTGGCAAATAAAATGTTGGCAACGTATTTCAGCCCTCCAGTCTTTCCTTTGGAATTGTATGAGTGTGGACCCAAAGCATCTGGGAAACTGTCCTGGGCAGCGTCCTGAGCCACTAGATTGTTTCTCATGCCATCCTTTCCCCCAGTAGCTACAAGATTGAATGAGGCAGGTCATATGTTTTATTAGAAATAAATCTTGGTGCAGGTTTGCGTATGCCCCAACCCTTTGGCATCCAGCATCCATTCCTTGTTACCCTTGCTTTTTGTCTGTTTTTTCTAGCACTGTCTTTGTCAACTAGGTCCCAGCATAAAAATGGGGAGGGGAGTGGGTAAGCAAGCGGTAGGGAGAACCTTTTATCTCTTGTCTATTTCCACTTCACCAGTAACCACAAACACCAGAAACAATTTCAAAAGGATTGTGAAAGTGAGGGTGTGTGGGTGTGTGTTCGGGGAAAATGGTAAACATCTAGGAGACATGACTGATTTTTCTGCAGCCTGGGCAAGGCACAGGGAAGTGCCAGAAGCACACAGAAGGAGGGTGAATGTGAGTCTGGGTAGACAGAGAAGTATTTGGGGAGACATACTGGTGAGAGACCACCAAGAGCCTGAAGCCCAAACCCATCCCCAGGCCATGGTGGAAAATGTTCTTCACAACGCTGGTTTGGCATCTGAGTGAGATGACTATGTGTGGCATTTCAGTCAGGATATGGTAAAATACATCAATGCCAGGTAGTGTTATTCTGCAGTTAACTGATTAGGATGAAGATAGTTAAGATTTTGACAACAGTGATAATAATACTGATACTCGTACATGACATTTCTTGAGCACTTCACATGAGCCCAGAACTGTACTAAATGCTTTATATACATAATCTCATTTAATTTTCATTATACTGATGTAGGTCCTTCTGTAATACTCACTGGTAGGTGAGGACATGAGATTTCCCATGGTTGAGTAACTGGCAGCTATGAATGCCACGTCAAACCCTGGAACCCAGACCTCACTGCACTGGCTCTTTTTCTAGTTTGAGCAGTGTTTATTATTCTATGTCAAATTAAATTAGCTTTCTGTTATTGAGGCCACATAATATGTCTGCCTAATTTATTCTTGCTTTTAAAACTTGATCCTGTGGACTTTTCACGTACCATATATGTGTTCCTCTGGGTGGAAAATGAGAGGTGCAGTGTGTGCTGTGGTTAGGGTCAGAAGCCAAGGCTCTCAGGAGGATCCAGGGTGGTTGTGGTTAGGGAGGAGTTCCCAGAAAGGTGCCTGATCATCTAATCCTTCTCGGGTCCCAGGTACTGACACTGGTGCTCTCCTTCCAGTCACCAAGTTCCCACTGGAGCCCATGGAAAAAGAGAAAAGTTCCCCTTTGGGAGAGCTGGCGTTGACGGTAATGTTCCAGCTCAATCCATCCCATAGGAGCCAATCCAGTTTTTTTTCTTGGAGGAAGGCTTAAGATTGAATTTCTTAGTGAGTCTAACCTAGACCTTTTATGCACTTATCGTTGTGAGGGAAGTGGAGGAGGCTGATTTTTTTAAGCTTGCCCCACCCTTTAAAAATTTTTTTTTCCAAGTTCATGTACTTTTATTTATTTATTATTTTTTTTTTACAAATAGTTTATTGTCAAATTAGTTTCCACATAACACTTGTGGGGATGAGCACTGAGTGTTAAAAATTTTTTTTAATGTTTATTTTTGAGAGAGAGACAGAGCATGAGTTGGGGAGGGGCAGGAAGACACAGAATCTGAAGCAGGCTCCAGGCTCTGAGCTGTCAGCAAAGAGGGACCCAAACTCACGAACCATGAGATCATGATCTGAGCTGAAGTCCAATGCTTAACTGAGCCACCCAGGCACCCCTAAGCTTGCCCACCCTTTTACAAAAACAAAGGAAAGATCCTGGCACTCTTGTCTCTTGAAGACAAGATTTATGCCTTATCCCCTAAACAGAGATGCCTTCATCTCCACTGCCAACCCTCCCAACTATTTCCAGTCTCCTGAGACGCATCTCTGCCACGCTGGGTGCTCTCCGTGGGCTGGCAGCCAATTCCCCGAGTGCTAGGGTATGGTATGGCGTAGCTTCCCCTCCCCCAAGGACAAGTGCAGAGGGAACCACAGGCTATCTGTCAGGCCTGCAGGCAGAAAGCCATTTGCCCTTGGGGCACTGTGAGGCTCACCTTCTTTGGAGCAGACCTAACACCTTCCAATGTTCCATCTTGATGTGCGGTCCGTCTTTTGTAAAGAAAGGGCCTTAATCTGGTTGCTACCTATATCCTCTAATCATGCTGGTCATGTGGAAGATTTAAAAGTACAAAGCGGCCTGTCTACCTGTGCACAGGCACACAGAAACATTTAAATAACTCTCACCGGCTTTTCAACCGCCTCTGGCCCCTGCTCCTCCTACTTGACGGCCACAGGCATGGCCTCAATACCTCCAATACCATCTTAGCCCTGAAACACCTCACTGTCTCCTTCCTGGGTGCTGTGGTTGCTGCTATCTTCAAACCGTGACACCTTTACGCCTGCTTGAGCCTCTGCAGGTCTGCCTTCCCTTCTCCAGCAAAAGAAAGGTTGGTTATTGGGAGGTGAGTTTTCATAAATTCTGCTCCATGTGGTACAGCTTGTTTGTTGCCTATTTTTACATCCATTAGAGGCAAAGCAGGAGTTGGAAGAAGTGAAATTCAGATTGGTACAATTCAGTCACCATCTGACCCTTGTGAAGAATTAGGGAAGGAGCTAACATGACAGTTCTGGGATTGAATTAGGGACACAGAAGTCCCCATGAGCCTGGGAGCCTGAGCAGGTATTGTAAAGGGCTTCCATTCTTTGTTGCTGCCTTTACAGAACTCAGGTCACACTGGACCTACACCTTCTGTTCATGGTGCACCTGTCATAAACTTGTAGTGCATAATCATACTGTGGCCAGGAGCACTGCTGGGGTCAGGGGCACTGATGGTGTTATCCTTAGGGGAACTCCCAGCCCTTGTCAGAAACAGGGCTGGGGTGAGCTCTGATCGTGCCTCAAGTAGTCTTCCTTACCCTTCAGAGCAGCATTTAAGGAGAACACCTCAGTGCACATATCATACTGTGAGCTCTTAGGAGTCTCTGATTTTTTTCCCCATAGAAATGAAAAAAATTCACTCCAAGAAAAGAAAAAGGAACCCTACCTTATAGCACAGTGATTCTCAAGCACACATGGAAATACACACTGGTAGCAGAAGCCTCAGTGTGGGGGGCATCTCAGGCATAGGGTCGTTAAAGAAGAAACTGCAGGGGGTCAGGCAAAAGGTGAAAACAAGAGCAGCCTGAGTCTGCCCAGGGATCTGGAAGGGTCTGAGCACTCACTTGTACTCTGGAGATGTCCCATCGAGCCACTTCCATTCATTTTCGTGCTCCAAGTCTGTGAGGCCAATCCAGTGGCTGTCTCTTCCGACCATCTGCTTTTTTATCCATTGCTGAAAAACAAACCCATGATGGTGCGTTGTAATTTGGGGGGAACACCTATCTGGAGGAATTCCCCCATCGCCTACAACATTTGGGGGAAAAAAGGACATTTAAAAGAGGATGTTTGTTAGAGCACATACATGCTTCTGCTCTTTTTTTTCCTCTTATAAGTTTGTAAGTGACATTAAGGGATGCTCTTCCTCTTCTAAATCACCCAGACAACTCAATGAATCCCACCAGGCTCTATCCCTCTCTATCACACTTTGCTCCCATGTTCTAATAATACTAACAGCTGTGGCATTATTGAGCTTTTCCTTTGGCCAGGTCCCATGTTCAGTGTGTCACATGCAACATGTCCTTAAGCCTTCATAGCAACCTATGTAACCAAGATAGTAAGTAGCTGAGCTGAGATTAGACTTTACAAAATCTAAAGCCCAGGCACCTGACTGGATGCTCATTCCCAGTATGCAGCAAACATCTGTTTTCAGGGCTGTGTCTGCTGGAGACACTTAGGGAAAAGGAAGGAGGCACAGCGTGGCCCCAAAGACCACTGGCATTGTTGCTAGAGGGACCTCAGTTTCAGCCTCAGCTCTGCATTTACTTGTTATCCCGTAAATAAAGTCAGTAAACCTTGTGGGGCCTCAGTTTTTTTATCTGTAAAAAGGGGATATAATATCCCTAGGTTCTAGGGTTGTTGTGAGGTATAAAGGAGAAGTGTCTTGTACCGTGCTTGGCACACAGTAGGGGCCTAGAGAGTGGCCAGCATTGTTATGTGTGGGCTCTACCTGATGTCCTTCTCCACTCTTCCTGACCCTGCTGAAACCACAGATCTGGTCCCCTGCACCTGCCCCTACAGTGCTCATGCCCCTTTGTTTCTCCCTCCACAGGCGTTTGATGCCAGCCCGCAGGCTTCTTTTCTACATGACAGCACTTTCCACAGCCACCAGGGGCGGGGGAGGGGGGGAGGACAGGGAGACACACATCCCCGGCTTAATAAAGCAGTATCTTCCAGGTTGAAGCAAGAGGACATAATTCCCGTGCCACGAATGCTTCTTGTCACTGGATAAAGCCCAAATCTCCAGAATGCAGCCTTCTGTGTTTATGTGACTATGATTTCTTGATATCTTTGAATCCCCAGTAAGCATGCAATTTCCAGATATAAACTATCCTTAAATAATAGTTTTCTCCAAGTATGCTGCCAACATACCTGTTCGTCTCTCGTGTTTATGAAAACGAGATGTGAAGACTTGTCTTCACAGAAAAGTTTTGCGTCCTCGAAAATTTCTTTCTCAACCGAAAAATAGTAGCATTTGTCTGTGAAGTTCTTCCAGTGAGGTGGGCAGCCTAGGAATGCAAACATTTAAGATGTTAATCAGGGACTCCGGGGTGTCTGTCAGTTAAGTGGCTGATTTTGGCTCATTATCTCATGAGTTGTTGAGTTGGAGCCCTGCATCAGGCTCTGAGCGGACAGACAGCTCAGAGCCTGGAGCCTGCTTCAGATTCCGTGTTCCTGTCTCTCTCTCTGGCCCTTCCCTGCTCATGCTCATGCTCTGTCTCTCAAAAAATGAATAAACATTACAAAAATATTAACACACACACGAAGCACTATGCCTTTCTTTAGTTATATTTAGGAGGCCATGGCTTTGGCCTCACTTCCCTCACAGGCCAGGAGCAAGCAGTTCCAGCATCTGTGTGTGAGCCTGAGACTGCCCCTGACAGACATGCGGAGAGCAAAGACGGGTCCAGGGGGCAGGCCTCAGAGCACACAGTAGTCAAAACTACGGAGCCTGGAAAATTATTTTCGCTGGGTCTTATTTCCTCTGCGTCTGGATTAGTCTTTACAGTGACAGAAAAAACAACAAAAGGCAATGCAGATGCAGATGTTCCACGTTGGTCTGGAGTCACACGGAACTGATCAGTAACTAGATGAGAGCGCCCAGAACCAGAACTGGGCTTGTGGATGTACAAGGCTGACCAGAATCATGCCTAAGGAAATCAGATGGACCTGGGTGTGATGTAAAGGAGAGAAAAATAGGCTTAGTTGATAACCAAACACTGAGGGTTTTGCCAAGTTATCAAAATTTAGTAATCAAATTTAATAATTATATAAAAAAAACCTAGAAGCACCATAAGACCTTTTCAAAACAATAAAATCTGGGCTTTAGTAACAAAGTTCCATCTACGTGGTTGCTGAGGGATGTCTATCCCCAGGTGAAGGGCATAAAATGAGAACAAGATTGGTCGGGGGTAGCCAGCCTCAGACTTTCATGAAGGAAATTTGTGAAATTTGTCCCTGAGGGCTTGACTTAGCTAAATAAACAAGCAGTAGAGAACCTGATGGTGTTTAGAGAGAAACACATGTGCCTGAGTGACACCACCTGCGCAGAGGCCTGTGAGAGCAGAGGGGGCCATGTGCCAGCCCACGTGGTGCCTTCAGTGCCAAGAGAAGTGGGGCTGCATGCTGGGGGCTGGGCACAAGTCCACACAGTGCCCTTGACCCTGGGTGTGAGGGGGGGCTCAGACTTACCATTGGCCTCAGGTGCGGAGGTTGGCTCATTCTGTAGGGCCAGAGGCATTGCTGCCCCTGATGGGCCTGGGGGGCCAGGGGGACCCTTTGGGCCTGGCATGCCTGGCACCCCAGGCAAGCCTGGCAGCCCCCGTGGTCCAGGCACCCCTGGCTCTCCCACGGTGCCCTGCAATCCCTGGAAGCCCGGAGGGCCCTGAGGGCCAGGGAGTCCATCCTTGCCTGGAGGACCTGGGGGGCCCGGGTCTCCACTGGGGCCTTGGGGGCCGGGCTTCCCGGGGGATCCACGGGAGCCTTTGGGGCCCTGCAAGCCTTTGGAGCCTTTGCCGCCACGCTCTCCAGGGGGGCCAGCTGGCCCTACTGGTCCCCTCTCACCGGCAGGGCCAGGGGGACCAGGCTCCCCCTTCTCTCCTTTCTGTCCTTTGTTGCCAGTGGGACCAGGGGGTCCCTGCTGTCCTCTGTCACCTTTCGGACCCCTGGGGCCAGGAGGACCTAAAACATAAAAAAAAAAAAAAGTACATGGTATGAACATGAAATCCACTGTGAGGGATAGTAAAAAACTTATAAAATCTCCAATTAAAAAAATCTAGACATATAATATATTCATTAAAGGAGTGCTTCTTGTTTCACTTGTTTCTGCTCTAAGTATTTAGAATATATCTCTTTAAAAAAAATTTTTTTTTTTTGTTTTTGAGAGAGAGTATGCATGCAGGAAAGCAAGGGAGGGGCAGAGAGAGAGGGAGAGAAAGAATCCCAAGCAAGCTCCATGCTGTCAGCACAGAGCCCGACACACAGCTCGAACCCATGAACCATGAGATCATGGCCTGAGCTGAAGTCAGATGCCCAACCAACTGAGCCACCCAGGTAGTCTGCATTTAGAATATATCTTAACGGTACACTCCCTCTGGTATCCACTGATATTTTAGGGAGAGGGATAGCTTCACGCCAACACAAACTCACACCATTCACTTGGGCTCCCTTAGTCATCTGGGATTGTTCCGTCACCAGTAGAAAAGCTGTGCGGCTTGGGATGGAGATTCTCGCCTACCTATTTCCTCTTCTTTTCATCGAGTTGGATGAAAAATCCCATCAAGAGGGATTTTGAGAGGCACCATCCTAATTCATCCTCACCATCTGCCATCCTCACCAAGTGGCAGCCTCTCCTCTGTCACATCACTCCCACCCTCCTGGCTCCTGCAGCAGTGCTGCAGGGATACTGCTGTCCTTTGTGCTGAGCCTTCCTCACCTGTGGAAGAGCTCAGAGGGTCTCTGTGGGCAAGTGCTTTACGGGCTGGGCTAAGTGTCATTTTCCCCAGTGTGTTAGTCTAATAATGCAAATAGGGATGTGGGCTACAGAAAAAATAGGTGACCACGTAATTGGGCAGGTGAGAGAAAAAAAATGACACCATCTTTCCCCCAAAGGAGGAAGGCATCATTGTTGTCATCCTAGAGACACTCACACAACCTGGAATTGTTTTGTTTTCTGTAAATCCTCAGAAGTGACAGGGAACTGCAGACAGACACACCACAACCAGGATCTGTATAGTGACAATTTTTGAGCTACTTTCACGTACATTGTTATCTGAACTTTATCTATGAGATTATATTCCCAGAGCACATTTGAGGACTTGTAGGGCCAGAGACAGCAAGCTTCTTATACAACACTAGCTCCTCAAGACCGAAATATCCAGGAGAATTAGACATGAACAGTCAAGATCCAGTAGTGGACCTGGGATGGGAGTTCCAGTCTTCTCGTGTTGGAATGACTGTATCTAGGAGGACACTGTTCTCAAATATTCTACTTCCCCAGAATTTTTAAGTGTCTGAGAGCTCCTTGTTCTATGTGAATATGTAAAAGAGATCCACGCTCATTCTTTCCATAGAAGTAGAGAGCTTTTCAGGCTGGGCAGGCAGAAGTGCTGAGGAGAAAGAGGGTAGGTAGGCCTCCCACCTATGTTTTTCTTGATCCCCTTACCCCTCTCCTCCCCCACTGGCTGGTCAGGACATAACAGTGAAGTAGGCCTTCCCTCCTCGGTGGGGAGTGGGGATGGTGGTCTCTCTGTCCCACTCCCCTTTCTAAGCTTTGATGGATGTCCACGGTACCCTCACATTATCCATGGCCCCAACTAGCCCACCCATCTCCGTCCTCCCTTAGCAAGAACCTTGGCTCTGGACTCAGCTTTCCTCATTTAAGGTACTCATGATGTTGCACTGGATTGATTGGCAGACCTTCTACCAAGCTGTAAGAGAGTTCATGCTAATGATTAGGACTAGCTTCAGTGTGTACCTTTTGAGAATCCTTCCTAGAGGTGTCTGCTTGAGAAGACTTTGTGATGAAGAATTTTCTCTCTGAACCCAACTCACTGACTTGTGCCCACTAGCTCCTGTTGGCTGTTCTCCATCATTGGTTCTCCCGGTCTTTATTTCCATCTCATAGTTGGACAGTCCATTTTCCCTGGGATGTCCTGCCAGGACCTCCAACCTGGCATGTCTAAAACTGACCTTATCCCCTCTTTATTGTTATATGCCCTTCTTCCATCATCCTTCATTCTATATCATCACAACCACCTCTTCCCTCTGTCACTCATCATCACCCAGTGTGGGGGTTCCCTTTTGACAGATTTTTATAGTAGCCTCTTAACTGTTCTTCCTACCTTTGATTCCTCTTCCTTCATTCCACTCTGCATCTTTCCCACATTTGTCTTCTTTACCCACAGTTCTGATCTCCACTTGCCCTAGAATATTTAGTCCTCACTACCTGGTCATGTGGTGTTAAATCAGGGTTTTCATGACCTGGTCTAACGTGTCTTTAGTCCATCCTCCTCTGCACTCCTGCATCTCTTCTCTTAAAATTGCTTCTGCTCATATACACCTGGAGAATTCTCATCCACCTACCATGTGATCCTCCCAGGTGGAAGCTTTTCCTCTTTCTCTAATCTTTTAGTACTTGTTCTTTGAGAGCACTTATCCATCTAGCAGCTAGCAGTGTCTGGTGCATAGTCATTCAGACAGTGTTTATCAAACCAATCTGCATCACAGATCTAAATGCCTAGTGTGCTAATGCCAAATGTTAGGGTCCCAGGAGAGACCAGAAGGGAGAGATTTGGGGGGAGCAGCGATTTGCTTGGTGTCCCTTACCTCATTGTAAGAAATAGAGCTCCATTCAGTCTATGTATCAGGATGTCTCTGGCTGGAATGATCCTGGGGAGATCTTTCCTGACTCTACTCATATTTAAGAATTGATCCAGGAGTCTCTTCATCTGCAATCTGAGTGTTGTTTTTTTTTTTCTTTTTAAGCTGAAGAGGCTCTTGAAATGTATTAGTAAAGATAGGAAAGGTGGATTTTCACTGTCAAATTTATCTTCTGTAATAAAATATCTTAGTTCTTTTGTGTGGTTGAGAAATAGTGCCCTAGAGATTAATAGTGAGGAGGGTGGTGTGTGCGTTCCTCCATAATGGATGTAGCATTATGGAAGGTTCTAGTGGAATAATACTGACAATAGGCCAAAACAACAAAATTCTAATTTAGTTAGAATAATAGCAAAAATAAAAGTAGCTTTTCTTCTCACTTGTTTCTTTTTATGGTCTATGTTCAGCCTTTAGAAATCCAAATAATGAAGAAGGTTTTTTGGGAAATTCAAGTGCTTTAGATTCTTTATATTTACTATCCTTATGGGTTTTGCCAACAATCAGTGTTTCTCAATCACTCACAACTGGGTTTGGTACTATACTATACTTGCAAGTTATGGGACATGGGTTTACCTGTGCCCATGGAATAGTGACTGTGCAGGGGCTTATCTTCCTGATGTGACAGGGAGGTATATTTCTTCCAGAACACCTTCCTCCAAAGACACACAACTCTCTACTCCTCTCCTGATATGAATCCGAGACCTTCCTTACCTAGGATGACAGCTTCTCATTAATCTTATTTCTTTCCTGGGTTGGGTGGGTTTAGGGTGTTTAGCTATTTCCCTCTGAACTAGAGTGCTTCTCAAATGTCTCCACTTACTCCACATACAAGTTATGGCTTATTTTAAGAACAGCATCAAACATGGATCCCACAGTCAGTGCAAATATCAGCAAGTGCTAACTTCCAGATCTTGAGAAGAAAGGGAAAAGATGTCAAGAGAAGATGCAAGTTTTTGCCTCTGATAAAGGTCAAAAATCTTTTTTTAAATATTTATTTTTGAGAAAGACAGAGCATGAGTGGAGGAGGGACAGAGAGAGAGGAAGCCATAGAATCTGAAACAGGCTTCAGGTTCGGAGCTGTCAGCACAGTCTGACACCGGGCTTGAACCTATGCACCATGAGATCATGACCTGAGCTGAAGTTGGACGCTCAACCATTGAGTGACTCAGGTGCCCCCAAATTTTTAAAATTTAATTTATTTATTTTGAGAGAGAGAGGGAGAGAGAGTCCCAAGCACCCTTCATGCTGTCAGCGCAGAGCCTGATGTGGAGCTTGAACTCATGAAACCATGAGATCATGACCTAAGCCAAGATCAAGAGCTTAACCAACTGAGCCACCCAGGCATCTTGAAAATCTTATTTATGATGCATTTCCCATCTGGATTAGAATAAAAACTGAATTTTTTACAGAAAGCTAAAGTGGAACATTCATGACTGTGGATAAACTCCTGACAAGCACAGTGATATTTATTTCTTCATCCATAGCTGCCCCCGCCTTGGGAAAACCATCATATCACTAGAGCAGGAAGCTGGTGCTCTACCTTCCAATGCTGGGCTAATTAAAAAAATGTACTCTATGTGTCCTATATGTAAGAGGATTCATTAATATACTTAAGTATTCAGTAAGACCGTACTTTGCTAAGAACTAGAAATTTGTAACATTTTTTAAAAATTACTGAGAAAAAAAGCTAAATCCACCACTTAAAAAAAAAAAAAATCCAGTACTGGCTACCCATAAAAAACAGATTATTAACGCTAGAGGTATATCTTCCTCTAGGACCCGGGATGCTAGCATCACATATTAGTATCTGGATAATCCTAGGCTTTTAGGTCTTACTTGAATCTTTTATTGGGCAGCTGTTGAAGTGAAGAGAAAATGAAATAAAAGACAAGTCAAACCTAGTGCCTTAAAGCTGAAACAGTGAGATAAATGACACGGGATTATTTATGAGGCTGGGCATAACAACTTGTGTTTGGAGTTGAGAATGTGGTAAACGGTACATGTGGAGGGACTTGTGATGTCCCATTCAGAAGCAAATTTGAGATTTGCTTTCAAGACCAAGTGAGTGGCTCCCTGGCTCAAGATTCTGAAATGCCAGGATAGCAGCATTGCTAGTAAAGCCATCACAAGCTCCAGAAATGCCTGAATATGACCTAGACCAGATCTTTGAGCAGCCTGGTTTCACTGCCAGCAAAACATCCTGCCTCTGTTTCCCACCTTCTAGAGCTGGGAGCCTTGAACACCTGAATCCTCCAAACAGTTTAAAGAGGACAGAGGACTTTAAATCACTTTGCTGTTTCTGC